ATCTGAATGCTAAGTTTGCTCAGCTAGAGGCTAGCAACTCTGAGATAAGATCATGGATGGTTAAGCAAGAGAAGACCACTGAAGAAATCAAGACTTGGATGGCGAAGCAAGAAGAATCCACATCTGTGATAACGAATCTTCTGAGATTTTGGCTTCCTGTTCTTCATCTTAGTTTCTTTATTGTTTGTGCACTTGTGTTATATGTTTGTCTTTTCTGGATTATGTTTATCAAATGCTTCTGTGAATGTTATGCTTTTCCATCAGAATCTATCTTATGATTTATTATTTTCCTCTGTTATTTTTTTCTGTCTTAAAGTTTTTCTTAATCAGATAATTCTTTTTGATATGACAAAAAGGGGGAGAAAATGGTAATTTTGATAATTCACATAAACAGATACCAAAAGGCAACTCATACATGATATATCTTATCTAATCATATTTTTCAGTGTTTCAGAGCTAATAATTCTCATCTGATAATATTCTAAGAATTAACTCTGAACTAAAGTCTGAGAATCTACAAGTATGCTCTGACGCTGAAAAGAATACAAGAGCTTAAAGGGAAGTATTTATTCTTTCCAGAAGTATTCATTTCAGGGGGAGATTAATATTCTCAGGGGGAGTAATTTTTTTTCTGTTTTAAACAAAATTTCCCATAGTTTTTGTCATCATAAAAAAGGGGGAGATTGTTAGAACACAAATTGGTGTTTTATATATCTCATTGTTTTGATGATAACACTAATGAAATTTTGTATAAAAGAAATATATACTATAATTCTGTTCAAGTGTTTATTTGTTTCAGATATCAAAATTAATATTATTCTGGTAGAAAGAACGCCTCTGAACATCATAGAACGATAAAGCTCTGAGCATCAGAAGCAATACATTAGAAGACTCTAATCTGCTACAGTGACTCTGAGTGAAGTTGAGAAGAATTTGAGCAAAGCTACATATGTAAAGCTGCAGAAGACTCTGAGCATAAAGGCTTATGTAAAGAATCAGAAGACTCTGGAAGTACTCAACGCTACAAGTACAGAGGCTTTGATAAGCAAGTCTGCTCTGATAAAGAATTTCACGCTAAAGCACTTTACTGCAAACTCTGATAGAGTAACTTTGATAGAGTAACTCTGATCTAAAGAACTAGGAACATCATCAGAAGATCTGATGCAAGACGTTCCAAAGTTGTTGAAGAAGATGTTGTTCAAATAAAGATCTGTTGGCATATTTCTTGTCCTTATCCGAACGGCTCTTTCCTCATTTGTGCTTGACACAGGAATTCAGACAAAAAGGATTTGTCTGAACATTCCCCTTCTGAGAAAGGAAAAGTCAATAGAAGACAAAAAGTAACAGAATGCTCAGCATTACACAGTCTTTGAGAATTAGACTTCAAGTACTATAAATCAAGTCTTAGCATCACTTCAACATTGACGAATTTATTTGACAGAATTATTGAAAAATCACTTGACAAGTTATTCAACTAGAAACTCATACAACATTCTTCAAAGCTGAATAGTTTTCATTTCGTTCTTAAACTTGTGTAAAAATCACTATTGTGATATAGCTTTTTAGAAGCAACTCTTAAACACATTGTTAGTTTATCTTTTTTAAAAGAATTCTTAAGAGACCAAGTGTGGTCAGATTTCTTGAGAAGACTAAGACAGTTGTCTTAGTGGTTAACACTGTAATCAGTTTGATTTAGTGGATTAAGTCCTTGTTGAGAAAGGCAAATCACCTGGGTAGGGTAAACTTGAGTAGTTTGAGTTCAAACGAACCAGGATAAAAATACCTTGTTATTTTTCTATCATCCTAACTGTTTTTTGAAACCCTTATTCAACCCCCCCCCCTTCTAAGTGTTTTTCCTACCTTCAGTGTTAAGTGAAGATAGATGTAGAACAAACTTAAGAGGTTTCCCCCCCCCCCCCCCCCTTAAAATAGACTAAGAGCTCAGACAAGAGATCGATAGGATCAATTGAAAATCTTTGGGGATGAATGCTCAGAGCGGATCTTGGATCTAAGTATGAGGACGATCAAGAGTGAGTGAATGTATTAGCATTTTAGTTATTGGGTTGTGTACAACAGGAGAGGAAAGATTCATATTGAAACTGTTAAATATATTTTTAATATCAGCATATGGTTCTTTGATTGTATAAAACGAATATTGTAAAAATCATCAAAATGATGGAAGACTACATAATGTCAATGGCTTGCCATTGAAAATTGGATTAGGCGCAAAGCGAGGACGAATACGTTGAATATTTATAAACACTGGTGAAATATTCTTGATCTCTTTTAATTTTTTGTATAAGTGGCATGTTAAGGTTTTTATCGCTTTCTTAGAAATTGCATGTTTTTAGGTTTAATCTATTGATAATGATTTGTTGTATAAAATTAGGTATGAAATAGATTAAGTTATCAGGATTGTCTTTCGTGTGATTAAAGTTGTTTGCAATTATGATGTTAGATTGATTCATAGATCAATAAAGTCTCATTTAGATCCTGCATTTAAATTTGATTTTTTCTTGATTAATTTATTAATTGACTAAGTTGTTTATTATTTCATATTTTATTTTATTGTCTAAATATCAAGTAATACATGATATTAATCCAAGATATGTGGAATCAAATTTCTGCTATTTAATTTTGTGAAAACTATTTTTAGAACTAAACTTTTTTATTAGCAATGAATTTAAGTATTAGATTATTGTTTATTGTTGTTTTTTGTGACATGATCTCTTAGACAAATTGTTTGAATTTAACAATTTTTTTAATGAGGAAGATGAACAAAATAAGAAGGAATTAGAACAGTGTAGGAAAATACTACTGAACCAAACTCACTAAGTTTAGAAATTGCAAAGTCGTTTTTAGTAATATCTTGAATCAATAACGAACTAGCCAATCTAATACACCAAACAAGTAAGAAATATTTACCCCATACCCCCACAATTATATACCTATACCTCTATAATTTTACAAATATTCTAATTTTACCCTTTTAATTTTTTTTATACTTTTTTACTGCGCAATCAAATGAGTCAAAAATAACTATTTGAAAGTACACGGCGTGAACCGGATAACCACAAGTAAAGAATTCTGGTTCGTATTTTATCAAATCGAAGAACGTGATTATGCTACATCCTAAACCGAATAACTTGTATACTAATTATCTGGTTTAATTTTGAATGACATTAAAGCTCTGTATAACATTGCCACAAGTGATCTAGTTGCATAACCATATTTGTTCTTAGCTCGCTAACGAACAAATATCTGCTTCAACCAATCCAGCCTATAATAGGGACCTCTGCAGGCACAAATCTCTTCAGCTGCCTCGTTCAGTGGAACACCAATAAGATAAATAGTCTGAGTAATAGCATCCGATTTAGTGAACCCTTCTGTAGGGTTACACAACTCCCCTTAGATGGTATATGAAGTAGGCAAGAAACATCATCCAACATAATAGTTATCTCTCCAAACGACATATGTAAGGACGATGTTTCGGGATGTCATCTATCAACATAATTTCTGATATATCCTCGATAAACTGATTCTCTACATAGAGGATATACCAGAATCAGATACCCACGACTCAATCGCTGGTGGGATAATATGATGAACTCGTCCAATCAATTTGCTGCCATGTGCAGCAACCTTCAGCTTTTTCTTCGGAACTCTCTTATGAAAATAATTCATAATATATATCATCATACATAAATAATTAAAATTAAAATTTTTTCAACGTCGAAAGGTCATAGATTGACTTACTTCGCCGTCCCACAGATGACGAGCGACGTGGTTCTGATACCTCACCAAAAGTGATGTATCAGACGGCCCTCCGGGAAACGGTGGATGTAGTGGAATAGGAATAGGAACAGGTGTAGGTGCAAAAAACTGATATTCCTCTCGAGTCGACTGTTGTCGAATAGTCCTTTCATCAGCGTATCGTCGATAAATGTGTCTGTCGCGTCCTCTAAAGCAAGCCACTAAAAAAATAAAAAAACTTAAAAAAAAGAAGTCAATAAACAATAACAAACTGAAAAACCTAACATCAAGTTTTCTAGAGAAGAACTACAAATAACTGGATTACATGAACTCAAGTTATCCAGTTGCATATATTAACAGTTCCTATTCCATGACACCAAGTCTTTCAGAGTGAAAAAAAATAAACCAGATAACACGATGCCAAGTTATCTGGAGCGAGCGAAATAAAAAAAAAAACGAAAAACTCACTTGCAAGTTCTCCGGAGTGAAAATCTGCGAATCAAAAGTCTTGTGTGTGAGTTTTCCGTGAGTGCAACGAGATGTCAAAATTTTTACCGCTTTTGCTGAGATATAATGAGGAAAAAAGTGAAAATTTTAAAATTATTAATATTTATACAGGAGTATTTTTGTCTAAAATTTTAATTTGTAAGAATATAAATATAATTGTGGGAGTATAGAATAAAAATTTCAACAAATAATTGTGATTGAATTGAAAAAACTACTTTTCATATTTTAGTCCAATCAAAATTCTGAGGTCACCTTAATCAAATGCCAATATAAAAAATAGAGAATGTAATTATTGATATATCTATTACTCCTTAAGATTATTTTTCAATTTATGTATGTTAATTAAAACTTATAGCAATTTATTTATTATTCATAAACTCAGGTAGAAATTTTAAAATACCATTTAGTAGATGACGAATTAAAGAGAATTAATATGATTCACGCGATAGAGCACATCATCCGTTGTAGTCTAGTTGGTCAGGATACTCGGCTCTCACCCGAGAGACCCGGGTTCAATTCCCGGCAACGGAATTTTTTTTCTTTTCTCTTTTTTCATTTTCCTAGGAATGTATACGTGGGAGTATGTATTACCAACAGCACAGTCACGTTCACCTCATCAACTTGCCACGTTCTCTTCATGCAAACAACTCTCATCATCTATCATCTATATAAATAAATAACCATATTCTGATAATTCATCTCAAAAACACAAAAACAGTTTCAAATTTGCTCATAGAAAAATGCCAGGCCTTACTTTAGGAGACACTATCCCTGATCTTCAAGTTGATACCACACAAGGCAAAATCAAACTTCACCAGTTCTGTTCTGATACATGGACCATTCTCTTCTCTCATCCTGGTGATTTCACCCCGGTTTGCACCACTGAGCTTGGTAAGATTGCTCAGTATGCTTCTGAGTTTAACAAACGAAAGGTTTTACTATTAGGTTTGTCTTGTGATGACATAGAATCACACAAGGAGTGGATCAAAGACATTGAAGCCCACACTGTGAGTTTCTTTGTTTTCCTATTTTCATTTTCACATGCATGCATGTTTATGTTATGTTTCTATATTGATATATGTATTTGATGAATGCAGCCAGGTGCAAAGGTGAATTATCCAATAATTTCTGATCCGAAAAGAGAAATCATCAAGCAACTCAACATGGTTGACCCTGATGAGAAAGATTCTAAAGGGAATTTACCATCAAGGACTCTTCATATTGTTGGGCCAGATAAGAAGGTACAAAATAAGAAAATTGTGTTTTTTTACTAGTCTTTTTCATTCTTAAAGGATGATGGGTTGATTTGTTTGATGTTTGTTGTAGATTAAGTTGAGTTTTCAGTACCCTGGATCAACGGGGAGGAACATGGAAGAAGTGCTGAGGGTGGTGGATTCATTGCAGAAGGCATCAAAGTTCAAGATTGCAACTCCTGCTAACTGGAAGGTAGGGGACCCTGTCGTGATTTCGCCTGATGTGACTAATGAACAGGCTAAGGATATGTTTCCTCAAGGCTTTGAGACTGCTGATCTTCCATCAAAAAAGGAATATCTTAGGTTCACCCATGTTTGATGTGGTTGCCACATGAATGAAGCATATAATAGGAGAACCCATATGTTATCTATCGTAATGAAACTATTGAAGCCTATAGTACTCTAGTATATATGTATTGGCTTCTTGTTTTGTTAAATAGTTATCTATAGGCAAATATAAACAAAGTTTATGTATCTTTTTTGTTCACTGTGGAATCTATGTCTATGGTTTTAATTTTAACTAGTGTGTTGATAAACTTATATTAATTAATACATGAGAACTTTTTGTTCTGCGTGGATATTTGCTCATCTTGTAGTTTTGGTCTCAAGAAGTGTTGGAAAGAGTTGGGCGAGTTTGAAAACAAATTTCCTGCGGAGTAGTGTGTTGGGGCCTCGGGGTTCTTTTAATGTGGTCACTAGTAAGATACGGTAAATTTATCTATCATGGTATAATTTATATATTTAATAAATTTGAAAAAAAGAAATACTATACTGTAAAATTAATGATAATATAAATTTAATTATATTAAATAACTATATAGAAAGAAATAAAAAAAAACTTTAAGAGAAATAAAGGGAAAGTAATCCGTGATCCATAGGCATGGCAAAGAAATTATCGGAAAAATTTAATTTAACTAATAAGGTGTGGGTAAAATACGAGGCAGAAGATGTTACTATTTTATTATTTTTTTTTATATATAATTATTTTAATATATATTTATTAAAGTTATTTTAATTTTTAGAAATAATTTTACCATATAAAAAAATATGTTTAATAGTTATTTTACTTTTTAAAAACATGTTTATTATTAAAATAATTAAATATTATTAAAATATTAATTATTTAATTAAATTATTAATTTTTATTATTATGAAAAAATAATTATTAAAAAAAAGTTGTGTGGATGGTTTGGAGCGAGGACGGGGAACCTGTTCTCAAGAGGTCTGTTTTAGGGGTGTGGGGGCCTGCTTAAACTTGTGGGGTGCGGGTGTAGGCCTGCTTAAAAAACTGTGTGATAGTTTTTTACGTTCAATTGAGTGAGTGCGGAGGTGAGTGAGTGTGTGATAGTTTTTTAAGTTCAATTGAGTGCGGAGGTGAGTGAGTGTGGGATAGTTTTTTTAGTTTTTTACGTTTAATTGAGTGCGGAGATAGCGAAGGTGAGTTTAATTGAAGTGCGGATGTGGAAACATGTCTGTTTTAGGGGTGGAAACGGATGTGGAAACATGTCTGTTTTAGGGGTGGAAACATGTCTGTTTTAGGGGTGCGGGTGCAGGCCGTTTAAACTCGTCTTCGATCCGTCCTATTTTAAGAAGGCGGATGCTAGTGTGGAACTGATTAAATCCGTCCTATTTTAAGGCGGGTGCTAATGCAGGGCTATTTTAAGGCGGGTGCTAATGCAGGGCTGATTAAGTCAGTCCTATTTTAAAAAGGCGGATGCGAATACGGGATTGATTAAACTCTGATTAAGTCAGTCCTATTTTAAAAAGGCAGATGTGGGTGCTAATGCGGGGCTGATTAAGTCAATACTATTTTTAAACTCGTCTTCGATCCGTCCTATTTTAAGAAGGCGGATGCTAGTGTGGAACTGATTAAATCCGTCCTATTTTAAGGCGGGTGCTAATGCAGGGCTATTTTAAGGCGGGTGCTAATGCAGAGCTGATTAAGTCAGTCCTATTTTAAAAAGGCGGATGCGAATACGGGATTGATTAAACTCTGATTAAGTCAGTCCTATTTTAAAAAGGCAGATGTGGGTGCTAATGCGGGACTGATTAAGTCAATACTATTTTAAAATGGGTGCTAATGCGGAGGCAGATGTGGGTGCTAATGCGGGGCTGATTAAATCAATACTATTTTAAAAGACGGATGCAAATACGAAATTGATTAAACCCGTTCTCGATCCACTCTGTCACCATGCCTAATCATGCGAACAATTATCACCCATTACATTATTAATTAATTTCTTAATTAGAGTTTGTAAAATTTATATATTATAATAATAATATAGACAATTATCAACCATTACATTATTAATTAATTTCTTAATTAGAGCTTGTAGGATTTATATATTATAATAATAATATAGACCCGCCCGTTCCCATGTGATGCAAACAATTATCAACCAATACATTATTAATTAATTTATTAATTAGAGCTTGTAAGATATATATATATATATATATATATATATATATATATATATATATATATATATATATATATATATATATATATATATATATATATATATATATATATATATATATATATATATATATATATATATATATATATATATATATATATTATAATAATAATATAATAAAAAACATTCGAATACCGTCCTTCTTCTAAATACTAATAGTTATTGTGAAAGCACATTTTATAATTTGTGTTCAAATTAAGGGCTAAATATATAAAATATTTAAAAAATAAATAAATAAAATGTATTTATTTTAATTAAAGTAAAATTATGAAAGATTACCAAAAAAAAATCCATTCTACACAAGAGATTGTTTTATTTCAAAATAAATAGTAAAATGGAGAAGAAAATTCAACTTTAAATTTAATAATTAATTATGTCACACAAATTTAGTTATTAGTTAAAATTAAACAACTTATGCACAAATTTTCCATCTAAAGTGCATTAAATTAAATTACTAACAAAGTTTTAAAAAAAAAATTACTAACATTCAAATTGAGTTATAAAATTTAAAATAAGAATTTACAATCTAATGTGATCGGATACATATAAAACCGAATATATAAAAGTGATTAGTGTTGGGATTAGTTAACATATAAAAGAGAGATTGATTCCGGATACATAAGAGGAATTAGTGTCGGAATAGTTAACACATAAGACTAAATATACGGAAGGAATTAGTGTCGGAATTAATTGACACATAAAAGAGAGATTGGTGGGCAGTATAAAATATTTTATATTGTTTATATATCAATTAAATTCTTTAAAATATATATTATTACCAAATGGAAGTGTAAAATATTTTATATTGTTTATATATCAATTAAATTTTTTAAAATATATATTGTTACCAAATGAAAGGAAATTAAATTACTAACAGTTTCTTTTATAAATAAATTACTAACATTCAAATTGAATTATTAACACATAATCAAATTTGTATTTGCAACTAGATACCTTTAAGATTATAACATCTAAGACTAAGAGTCTATTAAAGGGGGTACTTTGAAAGTAAAATTAATTGTTTAGTGTGTGAGAGTCTAATTGTCAGATTTGTTATTTATCAGCACAAAGTCTAATTGTCCTTTTCTATAAATATAAAAGCAAAAGGACAAATTGTCCTTTGTAAAAAGTAAATATGAAAGTTCTTAAAATTATCCTGAGCAAAAAGTAAAAATATTACTAGTTGTTTATTGAATTTTTTTAAAGGCAATTGAATTAAAAAGAAAAAAAAAAAAGAATACAAAGAATATTTTAACCCTTACAAGTTACAATTAAAAAGTAACAAGGTTCCGTACAAAATGTATGATAAAAAGAGTTAGAATAAGAAATATCTCAAGAGGTTTCGGTCATGTCCAGAAGGGTCTAACTATAGGAGATTCAACACAAAACAACATGTATGGAAATACTATAGATATTGAAATATACATACAAATTAAGCTTATCTCTAATAAGATAGTGTGAAAGCACCCATATATAAAATAAAGTGATGCGTTGAATTATCCAAACCATTTCACATAATAATGCTTTCTAACTTCATATCATCCAGCCCTCCACAACCACACATAACATGAATGAAGTGTATAAATTAGTTAATTATTATAATAATTAAAAATGTAATGTAACTTGAAAATATGGAACAAAACCAACTCATGAATATAGTTTGTATCTTCAAGTTTCTTTTACTTTCTTACAGTTAATTAATTGCAAGACCATACATTTGAGTCCTACTCATGAATTTAGTTGATCTTCCTTTTTCTGGTAACAACTTTACTTGGTTTAGCGGAGACAAAAAATTCATGAGTAGAATTGACGGGTTTTTGGTGTCGGAAACGGTCATTGGAAAGTGGGGCGCTGTCAGTCAAACTATTGGGAAAAGGGATATATCAGATCATTGTCAGATTTGGTTGAAGATTTCGTCTCTTAACTAGGGTCCGAAGCCTTTCAAAACAAAGGATTGTTGATTTGAAAATAAAAATTTCTTGAAGTTTGTTGAGAAGAAATGGACTGAGTTGAAAGTGGAGGGAAGAAGCGATTTTGTAATCAAAGAAAAACTCAAACTATTGAAGGATAAACTCAAACTATGGAACTGAGAGATCTTTGGTTGACATGATCTTAAGATTGATGAGGTGGTAGATGAAATTAATGTGTTTGATAAGGAGTTGGTTCAAGGTGACAGTGTCGGTATTCAAGAAGTGGTCGAGCTTCGATTGCAAGCTAAAAAATTATTGTGGAAGAATTTACTGATAAAGGATAGAATGTTGCATCAAAAAGCGAGGATAAAGTGAGCCAAGTATGGTGATTTGAATTCTAGATTTTTTCATAATATTATTAAAGATAGAGCTAGAAGAAAATATATTGGCAGTGTGGATACTGATAGAGGAAAGGTGGAAACTGTTAGTGAAGTGAAACAAGCGATGAGTTTCTTCAAGGAAAAGTTTTCCGAGCCTGTGCCTTTGAGGCCTTCGTTGGATGGCTTAGTTTTCAATTCTCTTTCAGCAGTGGAAGCTCATAATTTGGAATCTCCTTTTTTTAGGAGGAGATTAAAGCAGCTATTTAGAGTTGCGACGTGGCAAAAAGCCCTGGTCCCGATGGTTATAATTTCGTGTTTTTAAAACAATGTTGGTCTTTCATGAAGAATGATATCATCTCTTTTGTATAAGACTTTCATGACAGAGCTTTTCTCCCTAAAGCTATAATTTTTTGTTTTCTTACCTTAATTTCAAAAGGGGCGAATCTGTCTAATCTTAGAGAGTACAACTCAATTTTCTTGGTAAGCTGCTTATAAAAAATTTTGTCTAAGATTTTGGCAGGGAGATTGAAAAAGGTTATAAGTGAG